AGAAGACGTAATATTCGTAAAATGGCATATTCACACGTTGCTGAATTTCGTCACGATGGGGTACTGTTATCGCTTTTGAGTAATTGCTTTCGCTAGTAAATCTTAAACAGGCGATATGCACAACAAAGGCCTATTTAATGCGTCACAGTATTTCATGATAGCAAAATAATCAAAGAAGTTTAGTGACGTAGTCAACTAATTAGTTGTATTAATGCACGAGTCTAAGTGTTGGTGTGATCATGTAAGAGCCTTTTGATACGAAATGATAACACAAGAAGAGTAATGTAGTTTTCTCCTTATTACCTAATGATACCCTTCGAGATAGTGGTGTTAAACGCAACATAATAATAACAGAGTATTTGCGATAAGTGGGACACACGTCGCATTGTGTACTTGAAGTGCCTGGACTACTAATACATGTCGTCTGCATATAGAACCTACGTTTGCTAGACTTTGTTTCGTTATTACAGTACGAACACATATTTGACGGTTACCTTCCTAACAATCTTGAATATTAATCTTATACGCAACTGAAACACTTTACGCAAGGCTTGATGACGCATAGAGGAAGTAATAACAGTTTATGACTGACGCATTTCACATAAGTATTAAAACGTTGCCTATCATTCTCGTTAACTCTGCAATGTCCTCAAGATAAGTAAAAGAGACAAAGTTAGTCGACATAAATGCATATATTTGTAAGGAAACAATAATCAATCAAATTAAAAATGACTCATAATAAAAGAGTACATATATACACAAAAAAGAGTTAATAACAATCCAGTGACAAAATCACAGTTGTAGAGTTTTTATAGCTGCATCGTAGTCATCATAAAGTCCACCAAACACTCTAACCGCAACATCTGTGTCAGTTTGCCTCCGTTGTTAGTGGTGTTGGACCAGTCTTTGCAGCTTTCGTCACCACCAGTTCCGTTCGCAGAAACTGGATGTGAACTTTTCAAGCAGAGATTGAGATTATATTCCTTCGACTACCTTCGGCCGTTTTAAGAAATATCTAAGGATGTATACATATCGAGTAAATTAATCTTACCTTTGGTGAACAATTCCTAATCTTAGCCACAGTGAATATGTGAACAAGGCAAAGAACAACCACAGAGTTGGTGAAATTCTACAGATTAGTCGTCCATATATTCCACGATAGATTTCAGGAATCATGTAACTTCCAAATCACCTGTCACACTTTTTCTTCTTTAAAAAGCAAATATTATACAAGTGACTCTTACCCATCCGTTACAATTAACTGAAAGACATAAAATCTCCAAACTTTATATTTCTTTGATTAAGTTACCCAGAAGTATTCTCCTTGTTACTGGATCTAATGCTTCTCACATCTGTGAAATTTATAAGCATGTTAACTTGTTCCCTTAAGCTAAAAAATATAATGTTTATCCGCTTTTATTATTGCTATTTCAAAGCCCGCCTCAGTAACGTACGGCACGTATTAGCCGCAACGTTTACGCAAAGGAAAATCTACCAATCACAGTGTGCGTAAGTGACCTTCAAGTGCTCAGCCTCTCCATAAGCCATTTGTGCCGCTATCCTCTATCAAATTCACACAATTGTGAGTTAGAGAAAGTATGTTCATCAAAAAGAACTAGTTGTAACCTTTTCACTGGTTGGTTTAAATTTTTCTGTTTGTTGGTGATGGTTATTTATTTTTGGGGATTGAGCATACGACTGCTTGGGCAATAGGTGATGATCACTATCGACATTTCGAAAGCTTTTTCAACCAAGCAAACTGTCATTAAAAATCGTAAAAATTTGCGGGATGTGGAGCCTGATATTTCATGATGACAAGCGTTCCTCAATTTTTGTGAAAAAGAATGTCTCTAGAGTGACACTGGTTTTCCCGATGCACATTTTGCTTATTCTCAACGAGACATAGACGGAATAGTGCTTACCGATGTGTTAGTAACGCGACCAAATGCTAAAACAATGCTCTTTAAGCTCTAAAAGTCAATCTTGTTCGTAAACAACGCCAATTAGTAGATATGTAGACGAGTAGTTTTATGGGAATCAATTATCACCTATTATATTAACCTTATTGAATTATTTGCATGCAAATTTCGATTTGTAATTATTCAAGGAATTCAGTGTGAATTACGCTGATTTAAATAATTGTGCTCATGTAGCTGGTCGAAAAAGTAGAAGAGGTCTTTAAATAGTTCGTTGTCGTTCGTTTGCTGTACCAATCTTTTTTATGACGCATAATTTAAGTGGAAACAATTAAGACTGATTGAGGTCTGCGTCTGTCACCCCTAGTCACTACAGACTGCATCAATCGGAACGCTTCGATTTCGATCGTATGTTCATTTCTATGTGCTCACTGGGTAGGCACTGCAAAACGTTTCGCCCATCGTTTCTAAATGTGTTGATTCCTAATTTCGTCAATAAGTTTACCTTCATTTCTTATACCAGAATTATGGATTCTTTTTAAAGTCACCTTCTCTACCTCCTGTTTAACTTCATATCATTCATTCGATGATGTGACACATCGATTTGAGTACTTTACATTCGTTGAGAGTGCTCTGTCAGTATGTGTAAGTGAATAGTATCCACAGTACTCTCACAATGAGTATAGCCCCTAGTCTGGCACATCTAACATCTATTCCAGATAGTCGTGTTTCTAATGATGCATTGGAAAGCTACTTTAATGGTTGCGTGGAATTTCGATACTGGCAGAATGCAATACCGTATTCGACAAGTTTATTTTATATAAAAGCGATACAATTATCACTGTGTCAGGGTGTTATTTAAAATAAACTTATATTAGTGTGAAAAGATATTTTGTCAGAAAATAACTTTTATAAGCAAGGACCTTGTTTTCTCAAGCTATATGTGATACTTTTTCAGCGAAGTTAGCGTTTGGAGTGCATCAGTATTTCAGAAAAATTCAAATCTGATTATCTGATTGCATATGTTGTCCCAGAAGTAGTCTGCTTAATTGAAATAAGTTACTCAGATAAGGAGAAAGACCTAGTGCATTTCCCTTTATGATCGCCTTACTTTTCATCGAATATATGACAGATGGATGTAATTGTCGTCTATATTTTGTCCTACTATAACTTCTTGTAGCGTTACTAATCATGTGGCTGATAACTTCCAGGATTTTAACACTCTCGATGTTTTAATATGTCTTAAAACTCTTAAGCCCTCATGTAGTCTTGGCCCAAATGGTATACCTGCATATGTTCTAAAACAATGCGCAGATGCTTTATGTTCTCCTCTAACTAACATCCTAAATGCTTCTTTCTCCGAAAACGTTGTACTTGTTCCATGGAAAGACATTAAAATATCCCTGTCCTTAAACCTGGCAATAGCAAGAACGTAAAGTTCTGACCCATTGCCATCACTTCTCCGTTTCTAAAGCTTGTGGAGAAAACTAGTACTTCTTAATCTGAACCCCCCCCCCCTTAAAAGCTTTGAAGACCCAAACAATTTGCCTATAGACAAGGTAGGAGCACTTTAGACACTGCAGCCGTCTTACACAACAGTATCGTCTCATCATTAGATAGAAGTGCCAAATACGTCCGTTGCACGTTTCTCGACTTCACTTCTGCTTTCGACTCTGTACCTAGATGTCTCTTGCTAAATAAGCTCTCGATGACACAAACTGAGTCCTGGGTCACAAACTGGTTGCATTCCTACTTTTCAAACAGAATGCAGTATACCGTATACAAAGGCAAATCCTCCTCTGCTGTGCTCACTGAAGCTGGTGTCCCCCAAGGTGCTGTACTTTCCCCACTTCTCCTTTCTTTCTACATGACCTATCATATTCAATGACTAATTTTGTCAAATATGCTGATGACCTAACTGTATCTTTGCCTGTCGAATGCCAAAGTGACTACTCTAAACTAAATGGCTTTTTATCAGAAGTCAGCCAATGGTCCAAGGAAAACGGTCTTACCTTAAATCCCTCTAAATGTCAAACAGTCAATTTCACATTTAGGCACAAATCTGACCTAAACAAACTGGTTATCACTCACGAGGTGTGCAACATAGATGGTACTGAAATAGAAACCAAGTCGGAAATTAAATACCTAGGCGTTATTCTATCTGCTGATCTTTCCTGGTCGGTTCATATCTTGATTATTTCTAAGAAAACATTCCGTCTTACCTTCTGTATCAAGAAATTAAGACATTCGGGAATAACCAACCCTTACTGCTACGATTCGTTAACTCTCGCATTCGGCCTATTATTCTCTATTGTTAACCCTTAGCTTTTCCTGGGCTACTGAAGAAAGACTATACCTTATTACGCAGGATGTTAAAGGTTGTCAGCAGGGCAAGCAACGTGCCACTTAACCAGCTTGTTTATATTCTGGTTGACAAGCACATGGACTCATGTGAAAATGGGCTAAATCCATTTTATTTAACTCACAACACCCCCTTCATTCACAAATCTCCCGTTGTATCTCATTAGGCAGGCAAAACCAGAAGCCTATATAGAAAAGTAATTGATCGCACTAGTAAGTACAAAACTCAACCATACCCTACTTAGCTCGTGTTCTGTGCGATAAAGAAAGCATTAAGCGTGATACCTATAACTTATTAAATAGTCAGTAGAACAACTGGATCTCGTCTTTCCAACTCATATCATTTAAAGGTACAACGTTTTTTTTCCCTTTCTCTCTCTTTTTTCGTTGTTATGTGCTGCCTTATTTCTTTCTTCTGCTTACGCCAGTAAATATGCTAGCACCTACTTTTTAACACCTTCAAACACATTGTTTAATTTTGGCTTTGCTACCGACATGCTAATATGTTGTTGTCAAAACTAACTGAGATCATCCCTAATCTATGTAGAATTTTATTTATTGTTAATGTACTAAGAGGATGCAATACTGTAGTAAAATGCTGAGAATTTCATTCTGTATCGCAAGTACTGTTTTGGAATAAAGCTATTATCATTATCATTACAAAAATACCACTAATTTAATTTTACTCGCTCATCAGACATTGCGAAGGTTGACCATTGGTACATGGGTGCCTTATTTTCAATTTTTTGCGCGATTTTCACCTTCTACTTCTGCACCAATAATTGGAAGCCAGAAAAATATTTCTCGGAATTGTCGTCTAAAACAGCTTATCGATTTTGTGGGTTAAAATCCTATGGCGAGGAAATTCCTAACAAGTTAAAACAATGCTCTTTGGTTCACGTCAATGCATTATTCAGACATGGAACTAGAACTCCAAATGCAAAGTCAATCGTAGCATTTGCAGATGTTTACAAACGCCTGAAGAAGAGGTAATTTATATAGATTCTTATTTTTCTAAAAGTTAGCATTTTCATGCATTTCTTGTAATGTTTCTTAAAAATGTTGTGTTTTTATAATGATAGTCACAAAACCAGTTTCTACACCTTGAAATAGCAGAAAAAGTAATGAGCGGCTACTTGTACACACAGAAGAAAAGACGGACTTTACATGTGAATTGGAGAAATGGCAATCTATAACTGTACACAGATGTGCCAACTCATCTTGCACTAGTAGAAAGGAGACAACATGAGAGTAAAGAGTATACATGGATTGACTATATGGCGTGAGTAGGCAGAAGAATATAAATATAGACTAATAAAGTAGTTGCTTTTGTGGAAGAGCTGGTTCATTCGTGGTAGGGTAATCACTTTCTTGTCTATACACCCACTGATTTTTATTATATAGTTTTCTGAAAAGAATTGAACAGTCGTGAGCTAATTATTAGTAATGTCAAATTTTATGTCCAACTTATCATGCAGCCACGACTTACATTTTTCACTTTATTCATACTCCATTTATTTTTGCATGTCTACAAATGTGGTTGCTTTGTTCCTGTAACTTTCCTTCAAGACTTCACATGCAGTAGCAGCATCTAAGGCTCCCAAATCGGTGAAGTAGTACTCTTGAAAAATGGTTTAATCAAGATATTTTTGAAGCTTTCGCTAAGCATATTCTGTTGTGATTGATTAACTTTTTGAGTGAAGAAAATTGAAATATTGTTCCCTTTGACCTATATAATGCAAAATCCAATTCGCAACACTATCCTTAATACCTTGATTCATGTTTATTTCATTGCTTATGAAAGTAAAGGCCTTCTCTGAAGCATCTTTTCTTCCAGATTTTATATTCAAAAGTAATAAAAAAAACAAGATGATTTGGAGTGAACAATTGTTCTCGCTAGCTTCTTCTTCCTCAGGCACTACAGTTACAAATCCATAAATATTATAATACATATAGCCATTAAAGGCATGTGAAAATTATATCTGAGACTGTCTGTATTGGGATACATGTATAATATGAAGTGATAGTTCAGTATTTAATATTATCTAAATAACGTGTATTAAAACAATGTGAAGTCATTCAGGATATAAGATAAAGTGTGAATAGACAAATGGGTGACATACTAATGTAGTTATAGTCAACAGAATGTAAGTTCCATTGGGGGTGTTGGTGAGGGGAGGGCGTGAGTTATATTCGACGGTGTGCGAGGAGAGCGATTACCACAAATTACATACAAACAAATACCAACAAAGGGGGCAGAATGAATGTAAGTTCAAGCAAAGGCTGACAGATAACAAGTGTGTGTAGTGATAAAATAAAGAGGTTAAATTGTGAACTGTAATAAAATACTGGAGACATAATAAGCTGGTTAGTGTAAATTACAAAAGGTTGACACATAATAGAGGTAATAATGATGGAGTAAAGTGAACTAGGTGAAAAGGAATAAGAAACGCATAATATGACATGAAAATATGGATGATGACCACCTTGTAGAGTAGGCCAGGGTAAACAAAGAGGATGAATGTGTTTCTTTTGCACACATAGGTCAGGTTTTTTCCTAATAATCTCTATAGACTTGGCTATTTTAAGAGATATAATCGTGTGTCTTTAAGCAGATTGCTTGGTAATCACTCGATTTACAACCGTAAATGACTCATCTATTTCGACGTGGTTTTCACTTTCTACTAAATGAAACGAAATCACACTATTTATTTATTTGGTTACACTTTTTCCTAGCCAAAGAGGAACACTTTTACGAGCGCGTAAAGATAAATTCCTCTGAGTTGGACTTGCATAACTAGCTCCACACGAGCAGATGTACTTGTATACATACACTGATGTATACACTGTGTCAGTAATGGTCTGGTTGAGAGACTGATGTGTAGTTCTGCGGCACTGAAGGCTCTTTTAGCTGCACTCTCAAACGAAGCTTTTTCTTATTAACCATGTGGCGCTTAACTTTATCAGTTCTTTTGGAAATATACTTCTTTACAAAATTGGTGGGGCAACCAATTTGTAGTAGGGTATTTTTAAGATTTCTAATTTCATCTTAAATACAATATTCAGTGCATATGCGCCAAATTCTATCACTAAGACAACCAGTCAAGTTCCGTTTATATTGTACGGGTGTGAAACTATGGAAATGGATATATTGTCCGATCCATGTCTCTTTTCTGTAGTTGTTTCGCTTTAATATGCCGTCTGGCCTTTTGGTAAGAAGAACATCCAAATAAGAAATATTTCCTTGATATTCTTCTTCGCAAGCGAATTTATTCGGCGGGTGCATCACATCGAAATAGATGAGTCATTTACGGTTGTATATCGAGTGAACACCAAACAATCTGCCTAAAGGCACACGATTATATCTCTTAAAAATAGCCAAGTCTATAGAGATTATTAGGAAAAAACCTGACCTATGTGTGCAAAAGAGGCACATTCATCCTCTTTGTTTACCCTGGCCTACTCTACAAGGTGGTCAGCAAGGACATAATCACCCATATTTTCGGGTCATATTATGCGTTTCTTATTCCTTTTCACCTAGTTCACTTTACTCCATCATTATTACCTCTATTATGTGTCAACCTTTTGTAATTTACACTAACCAGCTTATTATGTCTCCAGTATTTTATTACAGTTCACAATTTAACCTCTTTATTATACCACTACACACACTTGTTATCTGTCAGCCTTTGCTTGAACTTACATTCATTCTGCCCCCTTTATTGGTATTTGTTTGTATGTAATTTGTGGTAATCACTCTCCTCGCACACCATCGAATATAACTCACGCCCTCCCCTCACCAACACCCCCAATGGAACTTACATTCTGTTGACTATAACTACATTAGTATGTCACCCATTTGTCTATTCACACTTTATCTTATATCCTGAATGACTTCACATTGTTTTAATATACGTTATTTAGATAATATTAAATACTGAACTATCACTTCATATTATACATGTATCCCAATACAGACAGTCTCAGATATAATTTTCACATGCCTTTAATGGCTATTTGTATTATAATATTTATGGATTTGTAACTGTAGTGCCTGAGGAAGAAGAAGCTAGCGAGAACAATTGTTCACTCCAAATCATCTCGTTTTGATTACACTATGGAGGTCTTGAAGAAAATTCAACTGACTGACTGAAATTTTGAACGTAGGACTTTGCAGTTCAAGTTGCCATATACAAAAGTAACGGAAAATAAAAATTCGACGAAATTTTAATGAATGAAAGCCTATGGAAGGGAAATTGAGCATAGGGAATAATAAGAATTCGATGGATCTGTGGGGTTATAACGAGTGAATGCATTTGCTCCATTGTGATTCGGGTCACCAACAGTACCCAGCTACTGTTTAGCATTTCGAGAAGCCCACCTAGGATAAAAGCCCAAGGAGTCATACATTTCCATGGTAGTTTGTTTATTACATGTATCACACAGTGAAACAGTATTATTTACTGGATGACAAGGTTTCGAACAAAATTTATTGTACATAATCATATCTAAGACAGGAAATGAGGCATATAAGAGAAGCTTTGAAACTTAATAATTACCCCGATAAATTAGTCAGAAAGTATGTAGGGAAATGTAAAAACTAAAATAAATAATGATAGTAGTGGTAGTGATAATAATAATAGTAGTAATATTAATGACCACATGCATGTGACACATGCTCAAGACAACACCAACAATAAGGAATCTAAATCATCAGTAGTACTTCTATACAAAGAAGGAACCTCGGAAACTACCTTACGAAGAATTCTTAACAATTCAGGTAGGAATAAAAATGGCATTCAAACTGACCACAAACTCAATTAGAATCAAGCTTTGTCGGTTAAAGGATCCTGTGAAGCCTTTAAAACAAAACAATTTAGTTTATCTAATACCCTGCCGGGATGATTGTCAGGTCAAATACATAGGTCAAAGTAGTAGAACAGGGCAGTCAGACTAGCCGAACATAAAAACCTAGCAGGAAAATCTTGATTAGTTCACCCGAATAAGATAAAAATCTGGAGAATAGTTCAGCTATACTACTCACTACATGTAATTACACACAACCATACAATGGAATGATGGGATAGAATGACAGTTTTAAAATCTAATATAAGAGGGTGAATGGAGGGAGAGATTGATAGCAGAAGCTTTGTTTATCGAGTCAACTGAAGAGAGTACGTGTAATAGGAATGATTCAACACCTGTCCACACAGATATCTGGAAACTTCTACTACCCCAACGACGACAAATAGGAGAGAACAAAGAAAACTATAAAACTCATATTTCGAAGTCGTGTGATTATAATTGATATGGTTATGAACAATAAATTTTGTTCGAAATCTTGTCACTCAGTAAATAATACTGTTTCAATCACTGTGATATATCTTATAAATAAATTAATATGGAATTGGTTACTACCACAGTGCCCGTCAAGGATGCCCATTATCCCCTTTTCTATTCAACTTCATCATAGATGTGTTAATGGACTTAACCCTAAGTGACTTCAGCGATTCAGGGATTGACTTGCTACCAGGGAATAATCTCGTTGACTTGGAATATGCAGACGATATAGTCCTTCTAGGCGAAGACGCTGACGAAATGCAGAGTCTTCTGAACACCTTGAGCTGTAATCTACGAATGTTTGGCATGCGATTCGCTCCCGCCAAATGCAAGATGATGTTACAGGACTGGACTACATCGACGCCTAGTTTAAAAATAGGAAGTGAAGTGGTAGAGCACGTTGACCGCTTCACTTATTTGGGAAGTACCATCAGCCAGTCCAACGGGTTGATCTCTGACGAAATCTCAGCACGAATACAGGGGGCTCGTTTCGCATTTGCCAGTTTACGCCGACTCTGGCGTAGACGAGATGTTCGACTATCGACCAAAGGGCGGGTGTATTGCTCATCAGTCCGCTCCGTCCTCCTTTATGGTTGTGAGACCTGGCCACTGAGAGTGGAAGACATGAAAAGACTAGCTGTCTTTGATCATAGGTGCCTGCGCTCTATTTCCCGTGTAAAGTGGCATAATAAGGTGAGCAACATTGAGGTTAGGCGTCGAGTTCTAGGTAAACAGGGGAAATCAATCGACGAAGTCGTGAAGCTACAAAGACTGAGATGGTTAGGACATGTGTTACGTATGCCAAGTCATCGCCTCCCTCGACGAGCAATGTTAGCGGATATAGGGTCAGGCTGGAAAAAAGCTAGCGGCGGTCAAACAAAAACTTGGCATCAGTCAATGAAATCCACAACAGTTGGTCTAAGCCACGTAGGAAGGTGTAGACTTCCAGGCTGGGGTCCTCGGGACGGTAAAAATCTATGGTTGGAAACAATTGGTGACATGGCTCAAAATCGTTCTCAGTGGCGCAGATGCATCCACTCCTGTGACTTATGATCTCCAATGAAACTGTTTTGTATTTCTTTATTACTCCTTTGTCTCACACCTCTGCTCACTGTTTCTATTATGCTTTTCTTGTACTTTCTTCTCTTGCTTCACGTGCTACACGGAATGTGGCGACTTGAACTTCCGCACATTTGTGCAAAGTTCTATGTCGAAAACAGACAGACAGACCACAGTGCCCAAGTTTTACACGTACATTATTATGAGTCATACATTTCTTATTTTAAGTTGTCAACCTGGGTTCTGCTATGGGTTGGATTTGTGAAGGAATGCACTGTAGGTTAGAAGTCATTTTTTCAGCACCTATTTTCTTTCAATTTTATTTCATTTTATCCCGAGTGATTGAAGCTATACTTGTTGGTCATAAGCACACGAATTCCACTCGTCAACATCATGTTCTATGTTTTAGATTCACGTATAGTCATATATTGGTAGTCAGTATTCAAAAAGTAGTGTAGTATTGTCATAACTTTCAAGGCACTTCTGAGTTTTGTAATTGTATCTTATTATAACGAGTCATGGGGTTAAATGTTGTTCAGATTGCATAAGTTTGATATGTTTATTTGATTGTTAAGTGTGATTGAGTATTGAACGTGACCTGATAGTACTTTATTTGAGATCACATTTCAGAATATAAACTATGGAATAATGGAGGGGAATTACACAAAAGTAAAAGCTGGTGAGAAAAGTGTTCAATTTCAAGAATAAGCACTTTCAAACAGAAAGTTGAGTATAACTCATGACTCTGTATAATTGTTTCTCACACACGGGATCAGAAATTTAGCTGTATCACCAACCTATCCCCCCCCCCCGCTAATATGCACTTCAGCGAAGTGCCATCAGTGAAGTTTCTGTTATGGATCAACAGCTGTTGTGGTTTGCCTATTGAAAAAAAAGGAGGGATACTTAACGGCTATTTAGTTCAGGTTGGGAATACTTTTACAACTGCATCTACGACAGAGGCCAAGACTGTAGGTATCGTCGTAAACTAGTTATTATTCAGTCACTGAATCAGAATTCATTGGAGGATTTACTTATTCGCGATACGACGCGAGCATTCAGTATTGTCGATAATTTTCCTCGTTCTCGAATAAATGAACCACAGCGATCACTGTCACTTACTGGAGCTTTGAGAAATGTCTCAAAGTAAGCTGATGTGTGGGTTTGCTTAGTTGTTTGATTCAGATTGCCTTTCCTGAGTAGTAGCATTCTTTCTGCAAAACTTGATTGTTTTAGGTTCAATCTGTGATGTGGTATTAGAGGATGATGATCAGGAGAGCTTCGTGTGCTTTTGGAAGTGTGGGGCGATTTTTACTTTCTGGCTTCCCACACCGTGGAAGTTGATTTATTTTGAGGTACATGAAACAGAAAAAAGGGTCAGTGTTGGGTGATCACAGAGCCCAGGAGACCACTGCTTGGAACCAGTCACATACAACCTGTCTGAACTGCCTTTTTGGTTTGGTTCCGTATTAGTAGCTTACCACTGGCTACGGACCACCACGAGGCAACTCAGGATGTATAATTTTTGGGGACGACCTGTTCTAACCTCCTCTTTCCAGAGTGAAGAGACAGCATAGCTGGCATACTGGTTCCCCAGCAGTACGACTTCGCCCACAGACCCCTAGCATAGTGTAAAAAATTCTTATACTAACCCGGTAACTGCTTTTAGTCTAGTCGCTATTCTAACAATCTTCATGGCAACTTAGAACCTGCAGGAACATTAGTTCCAGCCAGTCTAGCTTGTTGGGTCATTGAGATATGCAAGCTCGACCACCACATCAAGGTAGCAGCTATCGGTCGCGATGTGGTTGTCGATATGCATTGCTAAAGCCTTCGAAACTGCGATGAAACAGTCGTTCAATGTTCCCTATATTCAATGGTTCTTCTTTGCTGTCAATGCGAAGACTGGAGGGATAATGAATCCTAGCTATCCGAATGAAATGTTCCAAACGTTCTGTGCAGCAGCTAGAGAGTCTGTAATTTCATCAAAGTGTAACAACAAGTATTTGCATCATAAAAAAGTCTCTGTATTTCATTCATTCATTATTTTTAGCTATGAAAATGGATCCCCAATTCCTCGTGAATTCTTTCAGCATCCAATACCATTTCAAGGTTCTGCAGTAAAAGAATTATTACCTACTGGGTTTGAGAGCATGATGGTTTGGGAAGACGATTTCGCGATCGTATGCTAAAATACTTCAAGTTAACCGATGAAAATGTTCGTTTTTATTCAAGTTCAGTAGATCGTTCTATTGCCAGCGGACGAGCATTTTATAACGGAGTGAGTAGTAGCCCATCTTTAATTTTTGCGTTGATCATAAAAGTATAATTTTTTTATATGGTAGGTTTTTTGTGTGTAATGAATATCAATGTGCGTCGGTGGCACAGCGGTTAGGACGCTCGCCGACCATGCACATGGTCCGGGGTTCGATATAATTCTATATTTCATCCGGAATATGATTCTCAGACTGTTGCAGTCGGAAATCCATTTTTTAGTTGTCTTGCTCACAGGGTTATAAACTGCTTGTTGACATTTCGAAGCTTAATCAACGTTCGAACAAGGCAAGAACGAATATATTTTCAAACAGGATGATACGAACGCGTTTTATTTCGTGGATTCTCTTCAACTGTGTACACCCTAAACAAAAATGAATTATTAGTTACAAAATTCTGTCTGAACATATTTTTTATAATGACTTCAAGTTATAGATAGAAAGTTGGTATTTCCTTTTATTCCTTCACGTTTCCAGTGGAACATAGGGCTTCAAGCTAGAAGCTTGAAGTTTCTCTAGCACAGGTGATTATTTTTACAGGATGGGGTTGCAAGCCTCATGCCCAACTTTTTACTCTTTATCAGCTTTTTTATTTCTGGCTTAGTGAGGTAAAGGAATGCGGCGTCGGTGGCCGGGGATCGAACCCGGACCATGTGCATGGTCGGCGAGCGTCCTAACCGCTGTGCCACCGACGCACAGAAAGTTGGTATAGGCACATAATTCCAAAGATGACGTAAGTGACGAGTTACTCAGTGTTAAAAAAGTAGCTATTTGTATAGCAATTAGACAAGGGGGATGGAGTTCAGATTTCACTTGGAAACAAGGATGGACCAGAGACAAAGTACAAGATAGAACGACAGAATGAATTTATACATATTATGGTGGAGAGTTCAGGAAGGAGGGTGGGAGTGAATAGTAAAGTAAAATTATAACAAAAACAAACAATTAAAGAAATTTGGAAACTTGATAGTGAGTTTAACTCAGTTAGTAAGTGAAAATCAGAATTAAGTGGAATGTTACACAACAGAAAAAAAACACGAAAACACACGAACAAAACAATTATAGTTACTAGGGTAGTGAGAAATTAGTCACGCTGTCTTTCTGTATTCAGATTTTGAGTCAAAGTCTTTTAATAACGATGGCTTCTGCAAACCAGAGTAACAGGGGTTTTATAATTTAATTGGTGGATGGTGACTAGCAGTGGAATCCAGGATAAGGCGCACTTCGTCCCATTTGGGACTCATCTGCCAGCTGAATGTACCTGCATTCCCCAGTGAGTGATGATGTTCCCACCACCGAGGCTCGAACCCAATGCCCATAGTTTCAAACGCGAAAGCGTTATCCACTAGACCATTTGGGCCAATTAAACAATTAACATGACCAGCTGTACAAGAGGTGGCTCTCATGACCAAGTGGTCTAATAGATAATGCTTTGCGTTTGAAACTATGGGCACTGGGTTCGAGCCTCGATGATGGGAACATCACTCACTGGGGAATGCAGGTACATTCAGCTGGCAGATGATCCCACCACCACGAGTAGCTCTTCTCCAACAACCTGATCTATCCTATGTCAGTCAGCTAACATTGCCCGTTGTCGAGGAAGGTGATCGAAGGCTAGGCATACGTAACACATGACCTAGCCATCTCCCTCAATCGGTGTAACTTCACAGTTCCGCCGATTGACTTCCCTACTTGTCAGAGTAACACTTGTCTCTACTTTTATTGTGTTTATTTTCCCTTACACAGCTTACAAATGGACCACCAGTTCAGCCAATATGGAATCGTAAATTATATTGTGGAGATGATGAAGTGCCGGCCAGTTGTATACTTGATGAACCAGTCGCCGACAGTACTATACATCATAAAAATATTACAATTAATGATGACTTGTTAAGATTTTTTGCACAATGTAAAAATTATATTGAAAAAATTGAGAAAAATAAAACAGCTTCTGTGGAGTATTATAAATTTTTAAAATCCGAATATGTGGCTGCCTCTTATGAGAATTTTTTACAAAGATACAATCTCAACAGGGATGATTATGCACCAGGTGAGTGTTTTTTCTTTCTTCAGTAACACAAATGAGACTGTTAGCTGATTTTCTTTGATTTCTTCAAGAGTTACTGCATATTTATTATTATTGTTCCCTTGGGTTCCTAGTGGAACATAGGGCTTCAACTGCACGTCTCCATTTTCTTCTGTCTTCTGCTATACTTTTCGCCTGCATCCATGTTAACCCATAGTGTTTCAACTCCTCTTCACACGATCTCCTCCATCCTCCATGTCACCCTTGGACGTCCCACTCGCCGCTTCCCTTTCGGGTTCCACTCGAGGGCTTGGCGCGCGATGTCACCCAGCGGTCTCCTCAGCGAGTGTCCGATCCATCTCCACTTTCTCCTGCATATTTGTTGGCTGGCGATTGGTTCTTGTTTTGTTTGTTCCCAGCCATAGTTTCTTGTTGGTGATTCTTTCCGGCCCGGCCATCTGATCTTCAGTATACAGCGAAGACAGTTGTTGGTTGATAGAGGTCTGCAACAGGCTGTTGGAAATATTCTTTGTGACCCGCCGCCAAGTTTCTGATCCGTATAGAAGGACTGACCTACTTGACGTTTGTGTTGAAAATCCGACGGAATTTTGTTGTTGATGCTGAGTGACTTGATGCTGATTTCCAGATTGGTTTCAGGTTGATGAATGTGTTTCTCGCCTTCCCGATTCTCGCTCGATTTGACATCCTCGTCCGTTCCGACTTCCTGTAGTTGAGACAATGCTCCCTAGATAAGTGAGTGAATGAAGTAACCTCTTTCAAATCCCTTCCGTTGATGGTGATTGGCGCTTGATGTTTTTGCTGTTGTTGGTTGGTTATTTTCATAACCTCCGTCTTGTCTATGTTCACCCGGAGTCCTGTCTTCGCCGGCTGCGTCTTCGACCAGTTTGTCGGTCGGTTTTCGCTTGTAAGTCTTCGATTTTGTGTGACATCAAACATGAATCATCCACGCGCGAAATCAAGGTCTTCTGCATATTACTAACTATTAAATGACTGTCTAGGTAGGAAGGAAACCAGTTAGAGTTACGCTGCTTTGACGACTTCAAGCTCTTTCCCGATTGACTTCAACTACAAACAGCTCACACGATTTTTGTGTGGCTACCTATCCTGCTATACCCAGGATTTGACCACACCACCTGCTGACTCTTTAGCCTGGCTCACCTCACTTGATGATGACTAGGGAGGGAGAATATAACTCTTATTTCTGCTCAAAGATGTATTTATTAACGATGGTATGAGGAGAGTACAGAGATGCACATTCACACCACAACGCACATCGGCGCACTTGCTCCTTGAAAACTTACTTGTCTGCAATCTGACCTAGTCAGCATAGGTGAACAAATGATCGTTGAAAACGAAATGACCAAGATTCGATTGAATGGACAAACTCCTTTGGTCACCTAAAACGAAAAGAAGCACTTCTGGAGGGTGGAGTTGTGACTCATAGGGCAAATGAGTTCCTACAGAATTACAGACACACCTTGCTAACGAGAGTGCCAATAGGCACGAAGCCTAGGCAGGTGGAATGTCCTGTTGACTTGTTCCAACCATCTAACAACCTGGACATTAGTTCTACTAACCACATTGGTTTCAAATGTCTTTGTTTAACAATTCTATTATGTAGATATAAAGCCTAATGAGAAATTGTCGAATGTATGTATGTATGTATGTGTGTGTGTGTGTGTGTGCGTGCTTTAACAAAGTTCTCTAAAAGTTATTTTAGAAACTGATTCGATTGAAAAATAAACATAGAAATAACTGTTTATTATTATCATCACAGACTTTCCGATATAGAATTTGTGCACTTTTGACAAATCACAGCACCTTTCCTTTAATGCATGTATCATTGTATATCATTGTGGTCCTAATGTATGAGATGAAAAACGCATAGTTTTGATTATATGTGATAGCGGTCATATTGTTTATAATATTTCAACTTAAACATATTTCGACATAAGAGTATTTCGTGAGGTTAAATAAATCGAAGTTTTTTTTTCACAAAGGTTTAAAAAAGTACATAAAATTGTACACTGTAAAAATAAAACCTAATTTAGTGATAAATCTTTTGTTTATTTTACTCTTACTACTTATAAATAAGATATTTGAACCTTTAGTTGTGCCTTACAAGCGAAACTGAGGTGATTTAGCTACTATATAGGCGTGTGACTGTGGTGGGAAGTGGTGATCAGTGGGGATACGTACAGCGATGACACTAGCTAGTGCCAGTCGCGTTATGTTGTGAATTGGAAGAAGTTGAAATTCATGGTCTGCTGGCTATTGAGGAAGTCAGGTCCCAGTGGTGGAATGTGGTCTATGAGCTCACCTTGTAACCGGAAGGTCCTGGTTCGACGAACCCTGTCAGTGAGGGGGGTACGCACTGTTGAAGAGTCCCAAACTAGGCTAACGAAACAGCTGTCCAGTACTCGAGTGCTGGTTTTCCAATGGTTCTCTAACCAATGTCAACTCATGATGAAACCCCTGTAATTACAGTGTCTGTATTATTAGTTAGACGGAATTCGGGTACTTACAAGTGATTCGCCTATTTCAACTTGAGGGATACCACTCGACACCATTGATAAGCTTGATCATAAACGAGTAAAATGACTGTCCGGTGGTCACATCATTTCGATCTGGCTGACACACACTACTGGTGTTGACTTGAGTGAATCCCAGCTACTCATATCAATCATTAGTAGTATATGACATTGTGCTATTTTGTTATATATATATATATATATGTTCATTGCCATTTATAGCATGAAGGAGGTCGTCACATATTGTGCTGTGAATATTATTGATTTTCAGAGGAAATTGTGGTGAATTCACACTTCTAACCATATAATTTACAGGTTGATTAATTGTTGTATTCTATGTTAAGAATTTACCTTGTAACGACAAAAGACGAAAGACAGGCTACAGATCGTTTATTGAGGAAATCAACAGATATTTATAGATTTTTATGTACATTATTATTAGCGTTATTGTTAGCAGAGAAACAGCGTCTTCTGATTGGTTGTTTTCTAATTGAAAGTTATTCTGTTATCTCTTTGTGGCCGTTTCTTTGAAGGTCAGACCATATGTCTGCGAATCGCATCCGCCCACGCAAAGTCTACTGTGATTGGTTGTTGAGTTAGTCTTTGTCCTTGTGCTTTTCTCATGACCAAGATATGGGACGTAAACATTCACGTAAATTGCTGTCTACCAATTTTGGCTAACAGACAACTGCTCTCACCACAACCTAACCTTATCAATCCACAGTATTATTATATTCTGTGACGTGCTTTAACGTTTAAAACACACTTCAGTCATGAGTTGATTTGATACATTATCTGGATTGAATACTAACCTGTTGATCCTAAGACCTGATCACCACTTAGGTTGAGCTACCTCAATTACTAGTTGTATATCATTACTGTGAAATTTGTTATAGTCTCAGATTTTCAAACTTCAAGGCATCATTCATGCCTGTTCATGACTAAAAATTGTAATTAAAACCTTTTCTCTGGTAATTACACAAATTTATTGACAGAATAAACTCGACATTTCTATCACATATTCAAGAATTGTCCTCTTGCATGTTTCGTGAAGTAAATTATTTCAAATCCTTTTTCTTTTCTTTCTTTGCTCTCCCAGTAGAGCTGTGAAGTTTTAGCACCACTTCTGGTGTTTTCTACAGGATAGATTAGCTAGCCCAGCCTTTCCTCTTTGCCGATCTAACTGCCAGCTAAGCGAGGTTTACGAGTGCGTCAGCTGTGGATCGAACCCTGGACCACATGAGTGAGGATTCTACTGCTGAACCACAGACTCACAATTTCACATACTGATACACTCATTGATTGGGTAATTATACACTGGTTCTCAAAGGAACCGAATACACTCATCTGAGCTTCTTGCGACACGAGAACAAGATGAAATCTTGTCCTGTGGCTGGTTGTTAAGCGATACTTACAACTAACTACAATCACTGTCTTTATCGGTGAGACAAATATGTGGTTGACTTACGAAAGTAACAAAAGAAATAGAATTCGGTAGAATTATCGCCTGTAAAATAATCTTTTTTAGATACATTAATCAATAAGTGTTTGTAATCAATAAGTTTTGTAAGAAATGAATATCGATTAGGTCTCCTTATTATAGTCCATCAGTGTCTTTAAGTATGGTATATACTTCGTGCCGTCTAAATGCAAAGTACTGTTACAAGATTGGCAAGTGCCTGTATCTGCACTCACTCTTGCAGGTGGAATGCTTGAAGTTGTCCATAAGTTCGTACATCTGGGTAGTTGTGTGAGTGCTGGCAGAGGTGTGACGGACGAGATTTCCAGCCTTATCATGAAAGGTAGGATGGCATACGTCGTGACGTTAGCTTCGATGAGCGCTGTCCTTACTCTATGCCTGTGAAACCTGACCTCTCCGAGCTGAGGATGTGCGGCACCTCTGGGTATTCGACCATCGCTATCTCCGCAGGATTGCTTGCGTTAGATAGTTTCATCGGGTGAGTAAATCTGAAGTCCGGTGGCGTGTGTGTTTGGACACAGTGGAGATCACCATTCACTGAGTGTCATCGTCATCTGGAAACATCGGCTTCGGTGGCTGTCTGGACATGCGCTACGAATGTCATCCTAGAAGCTATTAGAGTGAATGGGAAAGGTTAAGCAATGGTCAGTCCGTGACTTACATGGTGTCGTGGGAAAATGGTCTAACTTTAAATCCCTCTAAATTCCAAACAGTCAATTTCACCTTTAGGCACAAATCTGACCTAAACAAAATGGTTAGAACTCACGAGGTGTGCAACATAGATGGCACTGAAATAGAAACCAAGTCAGAAATTAAATACCTAGGCATCATTCTATCTGCTGATCTTTCCTGGTCGTCTCATATCTTGATGATTTCTAAGAAAATATTCCGTCTTACCTCTACATCAAGAAGTTAAGACATTCTGGTGTAACCCAATCCTTACTCCTACAATTCGTTAACTCCCGTATTCTGCCTATTATTCTCTATTGTTCCCCCTTAGTTTTTCCTGGGCTGGCTACTGAAGAAAGACTATACCTTATTACGCAGGATGTTAAAGGTTGTTAGCAGGGCAAGCAACGTGCCACTTAACCAGCTTGTTAATATTCTGGTTGACAGACACATGGACTCATGTGAAACAGTGGGCTAAATCCATTTTATCTAACTCACAACACCCCCTTCATTCACAACTCTCCCTGTATCTCATTAGGCAGGCAAAACCAGAAGCCTATATAGAAAAGTAATTGATCGCACTAGTAAGTACAAAAACTCAACCATACCCTACTTAGCTCGTGTTCTGTGCGATAAAGAAAGCATTAAGCGTGATACCTATAACTTATTAAATAGTCAGTAGAACAACTGGATCTCGTCTTTCCAACTCATATCATTTATAGGTACAACGTTTTTCTTTCTTTCTTTTCCCTTTCTCTCTCTTTTTTCGTTGTTATGTGCTGCTTTGTTTCTTTCTTCTGCTTACGCCAGTAAATATGCTAGCATCTACTTTTCTAACACCTTCAAACGCATTGTTTAATTTTGGCTTTGCTACCGAAATGCTAATATGTTGTTGTCAAAACTAACTGAGATTACCCTCAATCTATGTAGAGTTTTATTTATTGTTAATGTACTAACTGGATGCAATACTGTAGTAAAATGCTGAGAATTCCATTCTGTTAAGTTAGCATCGGTTGGTACGTCACTCACGATTCCCTGGTTGTGTTCCGACAGACAGCTCAAATCGGTGACTCGTACCGTTATCGGATATGGCCAAGAATCGCAATCAGTGGTGAACATGCTGCAATTTCCTTCTTTCTAATCTTTCTGACAGAAATTCGACGAATGCTGCTGTATATTGTTAAATATAACCGCTCTCTTCCCAGATGAGGTCCTTTATTCTTTCTCTACCTACTTTATTCATACGTTGTGCTTTTATTATTGTGGCGCATCTTTTTGGTACCATACTATACCAGGTCTTGTGTTTTAAATGAATAATGCATAAATTATAGTCAGTATAATTAGACTTGAAAATTAGACCACAATTTGGATTGTGTTTCGTGAAGCCCCTAGTACATGAAAATTCTATTTGTAACAACAGAAGACAAGGGCCAGGTGACAGATAGTTTTTTCAGGAAATCAACAGATATTTATAGATTTTCATGTACATTATTATAGGTTATTTTAAGGAAACAAACACAGTCTTCAGATTGGTGGTTTCTCGCTGAACGGTAATCTTTCATCTGCTTGTGGCCGTTTCTTGAAGTTCAGATTATCTATCTGGAAATTGTATCCATCTACGCAAAGTCTTCTGTGATTGGTTGATGAGTCAGTCTTTGTTCTTATTTTTCTCATGAGCAACATTGGGGACATAAACATTGACGTAAATTACTGTCTACCAATTTTGTCTAGTAGCCAGCTCTCACTACATATTTATCTAACTAACCAACTAACTATACCAATTTGCTACGTCTGTTTCTTATAACTTTTTAATTAACCCTCTTGTTTGTTTGTTTGTTCATTCACAGATGATGTCAGAACAATATTCTTAGCCTGTTCATATGAAATTGCTGCAATGAATGATTTCAGTGATAATATCTCTCCATGGTGTAAACTACTTACACCGTCTGATATTCCAGTTTGGGAGTATTCTGCAGATTTAAAGGTAGGAACTTTTAAAAGCGAGAGAGACAGAGAGAGATGTTCATTGTACTGTATATACATATATATATTTCTTCATTTTTTTTTCAATGGTTATATTTTTCCACTCATAATTACTAGTTTTTATAGTCATGAATAATTCATCTTGTTCACCAAAAAAAACAAACAGTGTTATTTCACCACTTTCATTGTGTCTGACGTCTCTAGACAAAAGAGAGGACATGCCATTGGAGAGACCAGTGTCTACAAACGGGGAGGAGGAGGAGAAGAAGAAGGACCAAGGGGGAGTTAAAATAACTTTGTTTCTAAACACGAGGGAGTGTATAGGACCATGTGGTGTTTCCAGTGTTTGCATCGTGTACAATTTTGTGTTTTTTTTAAAAAAGCACCCTACTACCTTTTCTTCATTTCGGATGACAGTATAATGCCTTACTCTGGGAAACAATAATTAATTAGATTGAAAAATCGTTATCCTATTTCGAATGAATCGCTTATATCTTGTGAAAGTTATGTGGAGTCAACTATACAACTTTCATTTTGGTTGTTGTTGTTGTTCATAAGGCTGACGTGTGTAATGAGTTCAGTTGTTTGGATTGTATAATATGTCTTATTATTTATTATTATTGCTCCCTTGGGTTCCTAGTGGAACATAGGGCTTCAACTGCACGTCTCCATTTTCTTCTGTCTTCTGCTATACTTTTTCGCCTGCATCCATGTTAATCCATATTCTTTCAACTCCTCTTCACACGATCTCCTCCATGTCACCCTTGGACGTCCCACTCGCCGCTTCCCTTTCGGGTTCCACTCGAGGGCTTGGCGCGCGATGTCACCCAGCGGTCTCCTCAGCGAGTGTCCGATCCATCTCCACTTTCTCCTGCGTATTTGTTGGCTGGCGATTGGTTCTTGTTTTGTTTGTTCCCAGCCATAGTTTCTTGTTGGTGATTCTTTCCGGCCCGGCCATCTGATCTTCAGTATACAGCGAAGACAGTTGTTGGTTGATAGAGGTCTGCAAATGGCTGTTGGAAATATTCTTTGTGACCGCCCGCCAAGTTTCTGATCCGTATAGAAGAACTGACATTGACGTTTGTGTTGAAAATCCGACGAATTTTGTTGTTGATGCTGAGTGACTTGATGCTGATTTCCAGATTGGTTTCAGGTTGATGAATGTGTTTCTCGCTGGCCTTCCCGATTCTCGCTCGATTTGACATCCTCGTCCGTTCCGACTTCCTGTAGTTGAGACAATGCTCCCTAGATAAGTGAGTGAATGAAGTAACCTCTTTCAAATCCCTTCCGTTGATGGTGATTGACGTTGGATGTTGTTGCTGTTGTTGGTTGGTTATTTTCATAACCTCCGTCTTGTCTATGTTTACCTGGAGTCCTGTCTTCGCCGGCTGCTTCTTCGACCAGTTTGTCGGTCGGTTTTCGCTTGTAAGTCTTCGATTTTGTGTGACATCAAACATAAGTCATCCGCGAAATCCAGGTCTTCTAGGTTTTTCACGTCGGTCCAGGATATTCCTGTCTTCTCGTTTCCCACAATCTGATAATATGTCTTAAAGAGCATTAATTGTTTTATTCTTATACTGTCTAGTTGGAGTCCCACGAGACGCTAAGAACCAGTGGCTGTATTCTGTTAGTGATATCCACTGCCTTCACTTGGTGGTGGTTGTGGTGGTGTTTTTCACCAAAGTGATGAAAGGGCGAATTTGAATGTCTCGCGCTTACAACCAGATTGATGGACACACAGGTCTACCTCTAAGAGAGCTGGAAAACTCTGATTCCAATTCCTTAGTATACACAAGCTCCAGATTCCGAACAGATTGAATGGCGTATGAAGCTAGTTTGGCCACTGAGAACTATGGAAATGTATCTCCTGACGCTGTTCCACCACCTAGCGGATCAGACTCTAAGCTCCTTATTAGTAATAATAGTAATAATAATAACGACAGCTAAAAGTTATGCATATGAATTAATCTTGTTTCCACTTTTGTTTTTTCAGCATTATTGGCTTAAGTCGTATGGTTATGATTTAAATTATATACAGTCGTGTCCATTACTCGGTGAAATGTTAACACAGATTACAGAGGCTGTTAGGCAATTTGCATTTGGAGGTTTTAACCAGTAAGTTACCCTTCCTACTTTCTTCTTCTTCTTCTTCTTCTAAAATGTCTCTAAATAAGTGACCAAATAAATATAAAGGAGACTCTGCATTGGATTTCAGTTCGATAGTATCAAACAGTATGAATGGTCAAGATAACTCGGGGGAACTCTTCACACTTTAAGAATAACATGAGCAGGTTGATGAAGTGAGTAATTCGGAGGCGACTCAAGTGAACCATGTAGTGTTTACTGGTCAGATCAAATTGGTGTAAACCCTGGACGACTGTCTTGCTCATTTCAAGCCAGCTGGTCCCATCAACAATGTGCCCAGCTTGACTGTCAACTTGGAGAGCTAAATCAGTTCAAACCAACTAGCTTGAACAACGAAAGAAAGAACACATTAGTAGGATTATACGACCTCGTTATATTTCGTGAATTCTTGATAACTGCAGTCAACCTAAATAATATAAGTTACACATTTTCTGAACATACTTTTTCACAGTAACGTCAAGTTTTGGACAGACAGTATAAATGATATAATTCCAACTTCTCTCCGTAAATGTCTTTTGTCAGTTAAGATTCCCGTGAGATTCATTCCAACTGTTATATCATTTAAGAGTCATTTAATTACTAGTCAGTAGGAATGTTTTTAAAACAAATTAAAGTGATCTGTTGAGGTTTAACGGGGTAGTTAGTTTTCCTAGCCTAATTGATTGGATACCTGGAGGTCGTTAATTTCTATTCCCTAGAGATTCCCTTTCAAAAGTGAGACGTCACTCCATACTAACTACTACTACTATTATTATTATTATTATTATTAGTTTGTCCAGATTAGGTTACCTCAGACAGATAGTCTCTTCCATGAATTAGTACTGTGACGCCCTAACTATTCACTACGTTTTTACTATCACATTAATCCCTCTTTTATTTCCGCCTCTTCTTTTCAGATCTGACGTGTCAGTACATCGTGGAAGCTTTTGGTTTGGACATGCAGAGACTGTACTACCCATAGTTGCTGCTTTGGGCATATTTAACGAGTCTGTAGGTCATTCGAAAGTGCATAAATTAACAGCGGATAATTTCGATGAGAGATTAAGAATGCTTCAACAGGAACAACCGCCGCCAACAATGTTTCGTACAGGTTATATAACACCATTCGCTGGTAATATAGCCTTTATGGTGTATTATTGTCCTGAATCGGGTACGTCAATTCCCTTTTGTTTTGAGTGTTGGTTTTCAGGGATTTGATTTGATTTGATTTGTTACAGGATTTCATCGTGATGAGCCGACATCGGTTAGAGAATTATAAGGAGACCACCAATAGTGAAGTACTGGACAGCCAACAGTCTCGTCTTACTTTCGGACTCCTCAACAGCACATATCCACTGGGATTTGAACCCATGATTTCTAAAGTGTTAAGATATCCAGTGAATTTGTAAAATCAATAAATATTGAATATGTGTATCGCTTAACTATAAATAATCGTTGACATTTATCATTATTTATTCTATTACTTCATGTTTTTTAAAGAAATCTGCTATTTTCTTTCAACCAATTAGGATTAATTCAATCACCATATAGTTGAAGGTATAACTCAATGACTTAATCACTCGAATTTTCGCCAAAGGGTCCAGGGCTTGTAAACTCAGTCTATGTAGTATATAGTCAGCCGTCTCACACGTCAAGTGTGGGTAAGTAGTAGCCTTCTGCTACATGAGAAATATGTTCCAGTTGACAACTGTATTTTAGAAGACTTATTATGCCATCTGAATGCCTTGGATGAAGTGAGTTGCTAACTTAGAGTTAATTATTCAAGCATGGAGTGATGATAACAGAGCTAATTAAAAACACCCTACAAGGTAATCGTTATCAACCATAATGAGAAATCGTCAGAGCTGTGTCACATGTGTAATGATTGAAAAAAAAACAAGCAAACGATTGTGTTGTTTCTACTATCGTGTCTCTGTTTAATGCTGCTGCTGCTGCTGCTAATAGCTAAGCTGCTTTATCAAAGTAGTATTATCAAAATATCAGTTTGTGTAAAAACTTAATTATCCGGCATCAGCATCGAGGGGGGTCACTTTTATGTTGTCAAGTTGACCCAAAACAAAACCATGTGTGTGTGTAGATTGTTGAATTTGATAAGCGTATGCAATTATAAAAACAGTGTGCGTGTTTTTACACAATTAAATTGCTTATCACATTTGTGTTGATTTTATCACTTCATGAGAGGCGGGTGTTGTGACTAGGTTAAATTTTGTTTTAGTTCATCATTTCTATTCGTATAATTTGGATTGCGTTTGATATGAAGTGCTACTGATGATATTAGACGTTCTTTGTGCTTTTTGAGATTTTTCTGGATTATTTCCATATTGTCAAAATCAATTTTTTGACCCGATTGTACCACAGCGTCTCTAGACCTATGCCTAATTATTTTTCAAGCTTTTCTAGTTCAAATGTATTTCTCGGCGGTCGAATAGAGATGCTCTAAGGTGTTCATTTCTTTTGATTTTGATTTCTCGAAATGTTTGTCTGATGTATATATCGCATCACATTCCAAGCATTTTATTTTATAGACACAATTACATTGTGAATCCTTTGGAATTCGGTTGTTTGCATAGACAAAGTTGCTTTGTAGTGTTTCTGCCTCACCTTCAACCTTCCGTAGCCTTCTTGAAAATTGATCTGATGCTCACTAGCGACTGGCCCTATTCACGCAGTTACCTGAGGTTCTTGTGGGTAGCCGTGACCAGTAGAATACAGCAGGTTGAAGGTGAGGCAGTAACTCATCGAAGAAGACGTTGTGAAGTGACCGTCCTATCTCATGAATTGGCAGAAGTTACAATTCACGGACTGGTCATTGGATTGACTCCCAGTGGATTAATGGTCTATGAGTTCAGCATGTCACCAGAAGGTGCTGGGTTCGAATCCTGGTGAGTGCGTACTGACTGATGAAGAGTCTCAAATTAGGATGAAACAGCTATGCAGTACTCCCAGCTGGTTTTCCGATGGTTCTCTAACCGATGTCAGCTCATGATGGAATCATCTAACCAATCAAACACAATGCCTACAAAACAAATACTTGAAAACTGTGGATTAATCCTCCTTTGTATCGTAGAATAGCGCCATTACAACTGTCTTTTGAACAAGTCTGAAGTGTTTATTTAGAAGGTTGTAGAATAAAATTTAGGTACAAGTCGCTTAAGCGAAACACTGATGATGTTCACATAACTCTGAAGGAGAAAATCTATAAATATGTGTTAATTTCCTAAATAAACGATCTGTTGCCTGGTCCTTGTGTTTTCTTGTTACAGTAGGATAAAGGATAGTTAGGATTAGATTTAACAGATGGAGTGACTAGCAGTGGATAGAATCCAGGATGGTCATTCCGTCCTATTTGAGGCAGACTCATTATCATCTGGATGCAGTTGCATATTCCCCAGCAAATGATGGTGTTCACAATAAGACTCGAACCTATTACCCATCGGTTCAAACGCCAAAGCGTATACCCTAGACCAGTTGAGGCACGAGAGCCACCTTTTTCTTATGCAACGAGTATCACTTATTATTGAATTTCCCGTGGGAACGTCATCACTAGCTAAAGAGTCCCAAATGGGACGAAATGCGTGTTGTCTTGGATTTTGCTACCAGTCACCATCCATTGAAGTTAAATCCTTTGACATCGTTGAAGTATGTGCACAAGGGGGTCGACATGTCAACCCAGAGAGAGACCGAACATTTTGGTCCAATCAATCAATAGAAAAGTCCAAATTGAATTAAACTAGATTGGGTTAGTTATTGGATTTCGACTCAGGAATTCGAAATGTGATTAATTATGTCTCAAAAATCACTGGCTATAGGAAATATCCCACTACTTTCATACTTTTTCCCACTTTTAAAATCTACTGTAAAGAAGAAAAGACCGATGAGGCTAGAAGGCCTACATTTATCAAGGCAAACGCATTTTAGGTACATAAACTTGGTATACCTTATGCTTTATTTACACATCAGTTGCAAATAGGTTGAACATCAACACATTTGATAGCTTGTTGGGTTCTGCAGAGTGTCTGTAACGTTCTTCACACAATTCTCTTCGATTGCTTTTTCCACTGCCCCAAAACATATTGTTACTTTTCTGAATTCGTTTACTGATATACTACTTATATCTGATTATAAGTAGCACCCACCAAAATACTGTCACAGTAATATGGTATGAGAATGTATCGGCGTGTGCGTGCGCGTGCGTGCGTGCGTGCGTATATGTGTGTTTGATTGTTATCTTCCCCTAATAATAATAAACACTATTTTATCTTGTGTTATAGACGTAAGTAATGATCAAGTAATGGATCAATTCCGTGTTGAAGTTCTAGTCAATGAGAAGACAATCGCTTGGCCATTAGCTAGTCGAGTACAACCTCCAACCCTAGAAGCACCAGGTGAAACAAATGCTCCATTATCAACTGTAATTAAACACTTCACTGGTTGTATGCCTGATGTTTATGATAATGACAAAGTATGCTCACTTAAAAAACCATAGATTATTTTTTGTTGTGTATAATACCTTTGTTGTCACCTCACTCCTCTCGCCTCTTCCACCTCTTCCTCCATCCTTTCTTCAGCTGTTTAATGATAGTCAAGCATGAAATGAATTCATTACCTGTCGCTCAGCTCAGCTCCGCTCCGCTCCCCCTACCCCTTCCCTACTTTCAGCTGCTTTTCTCCCATATCTCTTTGTTTCTGCCTTGGATACTGTTTGTACAGTCCTGTTTGTGTATCTGTAAACTGAAGATGTTCAAGCGAGACAACATGATAGAACCTACTACTACTATCACTAATAAATAACTAGAATGAGGGGAGTGAACACCTCTCAGTCAGTGTGTGTGTATTCCTTTTATAGTTGATTTTATTCCTTTTTAGGCTTTCTTGTTTTGTTTTTTTCTTTTTTATAACCCAACGTCGTCTATTGTTCTCAGGTGTTTCATAGCCTTTGGACTTCTCTTGCACACGTGTTTACCTTATTATTTTATACATACATATATATATATAGTGATTATTTGATGAATTAATAATTTTGTCAAAATAGTTATTTACTGATGAGGTTTATTTGTATTATTATGATTATTATTGTTGTTCCCTCGAGTTCCTCCTAGTGGGACATAGGCCTTCAACAAGACATCTCTATTATTGCCAATTGTCTTTGATCTCCTCCTCTTACGTTGTGCTCTATGTCACCCTTATAGTCAGAGGCCCAACTCATCGTTTCTCATTCATCTTGCACTGGAGGGCGTGGTGCGCGGGGCCATTCGACGGTCTCATCAGCTGCCTGCGTCGTATCCATCTTCACTTACTTACTTTGGCTTGTTTGTTGAGGAATAGGTTCCTTCATTGCCAGAGTTTCTTGTGGCTAATTCTTTCCGGCCAACCATGCGATCTTTAATATGGAACCAGGGAACTGATCTGTTGGAAATGCTTTTCATGACGCGCAGTGCAAGTGTCTGACCCGTATAAAAGAACAGACTGATTAACTTGACATTTGTGTTGAAAATTCGAATTTCGTTGTTTGTGCTGAGGTGGAGTGCAGAAGATTTCCAAGCTAATTTCAGATTTCGATAAAGAAAGGAAGACGAAATTTTCAGTATAAAATGATGCCATCATCATTCTATTTCACAGGTTCTCATCGGCTGCAGAATACCTGAAATTACAATGGTTTTATAGATGATAATAACATACTTTAATGTTTGAGTGGTGGTAGAGAAGTGATACTATAAAATTAACGCATCCAAAATGAGAGCATTACAATTTTTTTGGTTTAAGTTTTCATCATCAATTTATACGCTTTTCAAGTTGAAAAGAGGAGGGGGCAGGGGTAAGACAGAAAACAGAAAAATTGATTAACAGAACAGTGTTAGCTTGTAGCCTGTTCACATAGCAACTCAAAAAACAAAAGCGGTTACAGTTTATGAGATTAAGATTTGTTCAGTGAGTTGAGATCACTGAATTAGATGACTAATTAATGTAATCAAAATCAAAATTCACTTACCAAGGTAGTGAGGGGTTAATCACACTCTCTTTCTGTATGCATAATTTTGGTTTAAGTCGTTTGATTGCGATCGCTTCGGCAAATCGTAGTAAATTTGCTGTCCTTTGTCTATTTAATATTTTGAAGGACTTAGAAATCTCTACGAGATGTCCGGTATCAAC